AAAAACATTACAGGGTTTGGCCGGTCGACCGCCGCGTCAATCGCGGTCGATCGCGAAAAGTCCAGAGACTTTTCCAGCTTGTGTGTACGTTTGCGGTCGCCCGCCGCGCCACTCGCGGTCGACCGCTGGAAGTCCAAACCTGTTTTCTGTCGTTTTTCCTGTAAGCTTTTCAGATTGTGGATTGGCTTTAGAGTTACACATATTGTAGTAGGCGGGGAGAGCGAAATTCCCCAACACATATTCAACCGAACAGCCATAAAAACGAGGTACAAACCTGTTTTCCTTTCAGTGAATGATGTCAGATACATGTTATCAGAAAGCTGAAAGTTTGTTATCAATCACGAGCTGTAAATTAATCTAAGATTGCTCTATAATTGAGTTCCGAAAACTATAAGTAATAAAGTAGAAAACATTTATTTTATATTAAGTTTCTGTGGCCGCCGTGACATATCAATGCTAAATTTGGGTGTCATTAAATACTCTCGTCATAAATTTCCGAGTAGTTAGTACAGTGGACGTAGGTAGGGCTGAAATCATATTTATTCAAATTTAGCATTGAGGTATTCATTATTTGTATTCATCTAAAATATTTTTTTGTCAGGCTTCCAGTTTGCTTCTTGAGAGCCGAGTCCCAATCTGTACGCATCTTCAGGCCTAAATAATGTAAAATCTATTGTTAAACGTCATCACATAACGAGTTTCAAATAGAAAACATATATTTGCTTGTGTGTCTGTCACCCACTTACATGCTTATATACATCCACATACTTTAAATAAACAAACATTGAATAATCAAATGAACCAAATACATAAATCACCATAATGATCCGTTTAGTTGATGAAATCAAAATATAATTTATATTAAATGATCATTCATATTGAATTTGAATGGAACATTCAAATACATAAATCTAAATTTTTTTTAACTAGTACCAGTATAATGTATGTGCATTGCAAGTAGGCATAATTGTTGATCTTTTTATTAGAACTCTTTTGAGATTAATTAACATTCCTAGATATGTGATTTATCCCACACGATATAACCACTTATAAGTTCTGTAGTATGTAATACAGATACCTCAATCTTAAGCTACAAGAAGACAAACTAATCTATTAAAATTTTATTGAGAATTATTCGACATTATGTTAAGCTTATGATTAGTCCATTGTTCTGTATATCCGAATCTCAACATGGTCTTCAATAACTTTTGGAAAAATAAAATTTTATAGCAATTCTTTTTAGATAGTAAATTGTTGATTCCTTCTCATACTTTTAGGTTTAGCTCTTGCTATATTTGAGTCAATTGAACTTCTAGCTATAAATTAGTTGAAACTTGAAATAACTTAGGGTTTAAGTTAATCTTGCAAAACTCCCTGAATTCATGCATGTTTTGTGAAATTTACCCTTAAAAGTTCTTAAGTAAACCAAAGTTTAACTTTCAAAAGAATTTCTACTATTTATTGTTAAATATGATCATCCATAAAATTACAGCTTAAAGAAAGACATGTTGATAAGAAAAACATATGAGCATAAAAATTACTGCTTATTGGCTGCCTAAATTCCTAATGAATAACATAACAATGCTCAAGTTTATGTAAGTACAAAATACACAAACTAACATGAACCAATTGACTAAACTCAAAACTACTACAAGTACATAAGTAGGTAATTAACATTCAAATAATTCTATATGAACTCTAGATCAAATGATATCACCTCCAAGAATAATACATAAATATATATTTTCTCCACTCCTTTAGTTCTTTCTCTTCATCACATTCTTCACCTTCCTTGCTATGTGCTCCACCTTCACCACATTCTTTCCTTCTCTCTCAACTATTATGCTTTTCGCCAACACCTTTGTTATAGATTCTCATTCAAAAGTTAATTGTACTTGTGTAGGTCTAGCTTCTTTCTTTCCTATCAATATTTTGAGTAAGGATTGAAATTTTAATTGGAAGAGTTTCATAAGATTTTATTGTTATTTATCATGATTTGTGGAAGAGGTATAGTTATAACATTTTTCATTTTTAGTGTGCATAAAATTATGTTTAATATCAAAAGTTAGTGGAGGGAGTTTATGAGGGTGTTTAAATGAAAAAGTGATGGTAATTATTGGGTTGGTTATGAAAAATTAAGTATGTATGTGTCTTCATGTGTATACGAATGTATGTATAATCAGTAAGATGTTATGAAAAATTGAGTATATGTGTGTCTTTATGTATATATGAATGGATGTATTCTAAGGCATTATGAGAAGAAATATTTTAACATAGCAACTCATTTTTTAATAGTACTAGGTTTTATGCACGTGTAGTGCACATGGTTAAATATCATAATTAAGTATTTTCAGTTTATTTTCTTACCAAAAATTTGTTCCTCGATTCTACTTTAATGGTTTTTGACCAATTGTGTCTCTAAAATTTAGTGTTTTGATTATTTATTTTCTGTGATATTTATTTAAATGAGCTACACCCAATTTAAAATTTTATTTTTGATAATTGAATTGATAGAAAATAAATGTAATTCGAAGCCAATTTAGATTATCATGTTATTTGAACCGGCATGAAATCAAGCTTGACTTTAGAAAGTATAGTGTTGTAAAAGTGAAAAGCACTTGAAAAAATAGTGTTACAAAAGGAAGATGAATAATTAAATCTAATAAGACACGATAATTGGTTAAAAGTGTGCTAAAACGACACAAAAGAGAATATGGAGTTTGTTCCTAATGCTTAATAGATTTAAAAAAAATCATAAATTAAAGATTAACTCTAACTCTAGTACACTTTTATATGATGAAAGCATCCACATAGATATATAAAAGTACTAAAACAAACTCATGAAAATCCCTTCTAAAGATTCCTAATTTACTTAAAAAAATTAAAATATTCCATAAAATATCTAGAAAATAGTGTCTTTCATTTCTTTAGTTTCATTTTTTAGCCGACATCAATCTTTCTCCACCTTTATCTTTTTTGATAAAATTAGACTACATTTAGATGTTGAAAAAGGATAGTGAACCCTAAATTATAAGTTAAATTTATAAATCTTAATGAAAGAATATCAAACTACTCTTTTCTTTGTTAAGTTTTGAAATTTTAGTCGTTTTTTTTTGTGATTTTAGTTATTTGAGTGTGTGTTTTTCAAATTTTGGAAGTTTGAGATTTTTTTTAAAAAAATTAAAATTTAAGTTGGGTGCTTGTAATTTTCATGTTTTATGTGTTAGTGGTAAGTTTCTTGCAACTCTGGAAATTGTGAGGGTGTTTTTATAATTATTAAAACCTTAGATTATTTTTTGTAAAATTCAAACTTTCAATGGTCTGCTAATATTTCCTGGATCTGATATGTATTGGTTATATGTTTTGAAATTTTAGGATTTTTTGTGATTTTTAACTTTTGAATGAGTTTTTTTAATAATTTTTATAACTTTAAGGTTATTTTTTGTAAATTTTAAAGTTTTAAGTGTCTGATGGTAATCCTTTGTATTTATCTTTATTGTTTGCAAATTTTAAAATATTAGAATTTCGAGGAGCTTTTTATTATTTGAACTTTTGATGGTGTTTCTACAATTTTTGAAATATTGAGGGTGTTAATTATAGATTTAAAAAAAAACTTCAGATGCTACTGTTAATTTTTAAATTTCATGTTTTGTTATTTTAAATTTTGAAATGGCAGGATGTTTTGTGTAACTTTAAACTTTTGAGGGTATTTTATGCAATTTTTAAAATATTTTGGGTTATTTTATAATATTCCATATATTGTAGCATATTAGTTCTTTACCTTAACAAACTAATGTCGTAGTACTGTTTTATATATATATTTTAAATTGTTGAGTTGTCTATAGTTCACAAAGTATTAGAATAAGATATAGTGATGATTAGAATAAATTACAATTTAAATAAAATATTCGAAATAGTGAAGAGTAATATTAATCATAAAAAACCTTATTCCAAACTCTTATTTTTAAAGAGAGTATGATATGATATGGGATGATATGATTAGATTAGATTTGATTTAAACGGTAACTTTAAATGCTGAGCACATATAGCGCGTCTGTGTCAGGAGCAAATGCCCAATCTCGATCCAAGTTAAAATCATGAAATTCTTGTGTGGCCCAGTAAGTTTGGCCCAATCACAAGACAATCTCAGAGCATATTTTGATGCTAGTTATCAACAAACTTCATCATGCCTTCACAGGAATCAGATACCCCACATGACTGTGGACGCTTTTGTAGTTGCCAAGGCAGGCAATATAAATCTTTCTAATATTTGAATCTTCATTCGGATCTCAACATTCTACAATTATTATATACAGAACACCTCAGGCCAAGCCTTCGATCCAAAAAAAAAAAAAAAAAAAAAAAAAAAAAAAAAAAAAAAAATTGTTGATCACCCTAGTTGGTTACGTAAGAGCTGACTTCAGCTCATAAATTATATGGGTCATGTGTCCATCAAGGTAGGCATACGCATCTGATAAGATTCGTTTTTATATGCTGGATGCACGCTCATCTCCATCATTTCAGCTATGCAGTCAACTCTTGCACAGTTCATGAGATCTCCAAACTAATGAAGGCAAATAATAATTTCAAGGGCAAGCATTTTGTGCACAGAATTAACTAATAGGTTACATATTTTACTAGAACACCTGTATAAAGAGAATTCAACTTCACATCTCTTCGGGTGAGAATGACCTGCACCGTGCAACGCGTTCATGTAGTAGTCACCCTCACAAAAGTTGGCCGTTCTAGGTCATTCATAAGGAGAACAAGGGGATAATTTGGTAATTAAAATGATCCCTTTGTAGTTCACAACACTTTGCTCTTCTAAGAAATGTTCTGATAAAATTTGTATTCATAAATCAAGCTGTAAGGAAGCAAATGAAGTTATTGAACACTTTCACCGTGATGAACAGAGCACTAATACATGAAATAATTGGAACGAAACAGTTGCTTTAAACCAAAAAAAATGCAAAGTAAACAAGGGCTAATATGAAACCATATAGAAATGAGTACATGCTTCTTGAATTCATATGTGCAACAAAGTGTGACGAAGCCAACGAAATTTATTGGATACTGCAGTGAGTCAAGATACATGAACAGAACACTAATAATAATACATGTAACAGTTGCAATAAATGGTTCCCCTACCCAAAAAAATAGCAAATCAATGAAGATCATATGTGAAACCATGTAGAAAACTAAGTACATGCCGCCCCAATTTGATTCTGTTAACGCCCCTCTCCATTTTTCGGTACAAAATTACCCGATCCAGAAGGAAGAAATGAAAAGGAGCTCTCTGCACCATCAAATTGCCTTGCAAAATCATCAAACCCTCCAAAGTTGCACGAATCAAAGTTCATAGGCGAAAAATAACCGCGTTCATCATCGACACCTTTGATATCTAGAACATTAATATCATCCATTGAGTTCTCAATGAAGCTAGTATTGTTATAGTCCATACTTGCAATAGCATTCATCGTCTCCTGGCTCTGCCCTAAATCCGAAGGTCCTGAACTTTTAGGCTCATCCATGGAGATCGCAGGAGTATGACCTTGAAATAAAGCTACATGCCCAAATAACTTATCTTTCCTCGAGAAAGTTGTTCCACAAGAACAAAGCCACTTATCGCGCCCACAATGCTTCTCATGAGTCTTGAGATCAGCTATAACCGAGAACTTTTTGCTATTGCATCGACTACAAGTATAACTCTTATCACAATGACTCCTCTTGTAGTGATTCTTCACACAGAGAATTGTTTTCAAAGGTTGAAACTTCTTGTGATCCTTGTTCCTCTTGCAACCCACGAAAGGGCATGAGTATCTCTTTACAGGCATGGGCTCTGAGCTCAGCTCCTTGATGGGCTTTGCAAGGGCAGCCGGAGTCTTGTACTCGTCTCCATGACCTCTCATATGCATCCTCAAGTTTGCATCTCTCTTGAACCCCTTTCCACATATCGAACAAAAGTGAGTGTGTGGTGCCAATATCTCCTCTTTCTCCAATTGCAATACTTCATACGAACCAGGAGGAAGATTCTCACCATCTACCCCATCCTCGCTATCTTTTACATCATGGTCTTCAATATGAATTTGTTCGTTGACTTCTCCTCCACAATCACTGAGACTTTTAATCAGTTCATCATACTCCGAAACCTTAGCACCTACCGAAGAACTCCCCTCGTTTCGTTGCGAAGAATAATTATTACCAATGATAGGATCCACTACCAATCTAGGAGAAGAATTGATGACATTGCCCAATTGACCGAGAGAAGGATTGGATGATATGAGTGTGTTCTTTATAGATGGGAGAAGGGTTCCAGCAGTTGAAATCAGTTGAATTATGATACAAGTGAGGTCTGCAGTCACGAGCTGCTGCTGAGCAGCAAGCTCAGTTGGCTGACTTGAGAGCTGGCCTTCTTGACCGATGATCGAACGGACAATATCCTGAACTTGATGAATCCTTTGCTCAAGGAATGAGAGATTGGTCAACATGGCTCTCGGATCCCAATCCAAAGCCGGGGTTTTCGGTGTCTTAGCTTCATCATTTGGACTGTGATTAAGATTTGAGAACTCAAGGTTGTTGTAGCAAGGGTTTCTAGGGTTAATTTGCGAAAAGGTTTGCTCTTGATTGAGATTCTTAAAGCCTGAAGATGCTTCAAAATTGGGTCTAAGCTTATGTTCCATTTGGCTCTATTTCAACTAAAAAAACCAATCAGATCAACAACAAGATCAAATCTTTAACCAAAATAACAGACACCCACAAAGGAAAACTTGGAAAATTTGAATTAATCACCAAAACCCACTAAATAAAATCCAAAAAGGAGCAATTTTTCTACATGGGACATGCGAAAGAGCTGAGAGAAAAGGGGAAATTTGATGAAAGAAGCAGACTTACAGATCGAGAGATAAGGATTAGAACTGGATTTCATAAAAGAATGGATTGAGATGAAATCCAGTCTCCATGTTAAAAAGTCTCCAGCGTCTCAGAAAACGAGCTCTCTCCGCTTCTTCTCAGCTTCCTTTGACCTCTGGCTTTCTTTATCTGTTTAATTGCGACTTTTTGAGAAAAGTGTAAGCAAAATAACGCAAGAACAAGGGAGGTTCTGCTGTCCCTCCTGAATATTCTAGCTAAAGACCACTAGACCCTTGCAGCATTGTTTTTGTATTTCGGAAAATAATAGAAAAACATTTAAATATATATATACTATATAATAGAAATAGTGAGGGAAGGACAAAAAGGGATGAGAGGTAGGAGTGTATTCGGTCCCGATATGACACTTATTATATTCGTATTAGCTTTCTAAAAACGAATACTGTTGATGTACTAATGAACACACAGCCAAAGTGTCCGTATATGGACGAGTTTTGCTTTCTAAAAACGAATACTGTTGATGTACTAGTGAACACACAACCAAAATGTTCGTATATGGACTAGTTTTGCTTAATGTTAAAAGGGGGGCCGCTTTCTCCCGTGACTTTATATATTTTTCTTGAGTGGGGTTACTGGACAACCTACATGTGTAGAAATTTGTGAGAGGACGGGGATTGGTTCTCCCGTTGTACCTCCAACGATCAAGTTAGTTGATAACTTGAGTGGGTAAAAGAAGAACTAGGTGTTCTTATAATTGTGCAGTATATGCGTAAGAGAATCCAAATTGTGAACCCCTTGCTAGTTCGAATAGTACCTGTATTTATACCATGTGCTTAAGGGGTAGATAAGTCACTTTGGCGAGCATAGTAGGCCGGTGGCAAAGTGCAAGCTAGGACCGAGCACAGGATGACAGTGAAAAAAGCATGGGCTGGTGGCTGAGTCAGCTCCTGCTTTACAGGTGTCGGCTGACGACTGGAGGGAAGATCGCTTCGGCATTAAATGGGAAGTGATCAGCGGCGTGGTAGGGCCTACGTGGTTCGATGAGTCATGAAGACTATCGGGACTAGAGGTATAATACACATGCCATGTATTTAATGCGATCTTGATATGCTGTCAGCGAGGATGAGCTTGAATAAGTTCTTTGCCTTCACCGAGAAGCAATGCCTTTCAAGTCGGTCTTGCAAGGTATTGGACGAATGGTCGAGTGAACTTCTGGCGAGTCATCTTCGACAAAGGGGTCGACTAGTACCGCTTTTCGAGTTGACTTAAAGAAATATCAATTCGTCTAGTCGGCAAAGTCGGACCCTTTGCTGGACTTGAGACATCAATTTGATTGGGGCATTAATTGTGGATATAAATCTATTCATTACTTGCAAATACATTGTATTTTTGTAGGTAGGAGCACCATAACAGTTGGTCTCTTTCTCTTGGAGACGGCCGGGTACGAGTGAAAATATAATTAAAGAATTGCACTTGGACGAACGTGGAGGTTTTAAATGAGAATTGAAAAGCTTCTTCGGAAGCAACGTGATTGACGTCACCATACACCTTACAGATTGCGGCTACTTGAGGTAAGTGGGCCGCGCCTCGATCTCTGAGGGCGTTTCGAATCCTGAGATTTAATCCTAGCCGTTGGATACAGCTGGATCTGAAGGTTCACATTCCAGCAGTTGTAGAATTTGTCGTCTATACATAGAAATGGGGCCTGAGGGGTAGCTAGTGTTTTTTCAAATTCTTTCTAGGGAATTGTTGATCTTCCCCATTTATCTCTTCCATCGATTAGCTCTTCAATCCCTGATGGCACTAGAACCAGTTGATGGTCGAGTTTTCCTGGAGAAGATTCACTCTAAAGTGCTTTGTCACAGATGGAGGCAATGGTTAAAAGATTCGACATCCCTGAGGCATATGATCTGTATACCCCGACAAGGTCAGAGGCTATATTCGACCATGGGCCAGGGTGGAATCTGCTCTATGTGAGACATCTAGAGTATGGTCTGAGATTGCCCCTACACCCTTTTCTCAAGCAAGTGTTTGAGGTGTTAGGAGTGTCGTTGGCGCAGATGAAGCCGAACGCCATTGCGATCTTAGTGCGGTTTGTGGTGGTCTGCCATTGGTTGGGGATTAAGCCTTCCTTGAAAGTTTTCGGTCATTTAGTGGTTGTGAAGGTGACTCAAAAAGAGCCTCATTTTCATTTACAAATGGTAGGGAAGTTCAAGCTCATCACCAACCTTTTTGATTCTCACACGGATTGGAAGGAAAAATTTGTTTGGGTTGTTTGCGTTGACTTAGAGTTAGGCTACTCTAACTGGCCTGAGATAAATAGGAACGCGCTCTTGAGGGGTACCTTGTTTGCTGATGAGAGGACTGAGCTTGACTTGATCAAGGCGTATATATGTTCTCGACGATTTGAAGATTTACTCGATAGATCAGTCTTGCGGGTCACTAGGGTGTCTAACAAATCTTTCATCGACTCAGACTATGAGAGGGTCTCGACCCTCATCACAGGGACAGTGGAGGTGGCACTAGCGCGGGCTGTTCCTGTGGCTGACCCCTAAGAGGGGCCGTCTGTTAGGCCCACAAAGCGTCATCGCCAAGACATTCCTTCAATGGAGGCTGAGGAGGCTGAGGAGGCCTGTAGGCATCTAAAATGCTTATAGATATCCAAATACAGTTCAAGACAAAGAGAAGATAATGAATGTCATTATCCAAGTCAGAGGGGATCATCCAAAGATCAAAAGAACATAAGAACAACCTTAAGCTTTCTCGAAAACCCTAAGACAGTCAAGACTGTCTCGCGTGGCGAGACAGTATGGACTGTCTCATGGTGGGAGCCAACGGTCTCGATATCGAGACTGTTGTGTCGCAACCGATCATCAAGATCCTGGTTGAATCTATGGTCGAGTACGAATTCAACCAAGCAAAGTTTGAGGACAGTCAAGACTGTCTCGCGTGGCGAGACAGTATGGACTGTCTCATGGTGGGAGCCAACGGTCTCGATATCGAGACTGTTGTGTCGCAACCGATCATCAAGATCCTGGTTGAATCTATGGTCGAGTACGAATTCAACCAAGCAAAGTTTGAGGAGTATTTGTCACCCTCATCTGCAAAATACTCCTCGCCTCATAAATGTAGGAAGATTTCATCTTCTAAAAAGGTTTTCCACTCTTCAACTCCAATGAAGGCTATAGGTAAAGACTCTCGCCCGATCGTTTCTAAGAATTCTATTTGCAACACCTCTGCTCCAAATGACTCTTTTCCAGTTAAGAAGTCATTGAATCAAAGCTCACTAGCACTGACGAAGAGGGCTTGTTAGAGACAACATCAGCGTCGTGCTCGTCAATTGGCCAAGACCTTGGAACAAACTGACGGGGTCTGTTACTATACGGGCCTAGAGTTGAGGAAGCATCGAGTGGTCCAGTTAACTCAACAACAAACCACTCACATCTCTTCACAACTCACGACGGAAGAGTGGACTCTCATCAAAAGAGCTCGTTCAACTCTTAAAGAACGCATACAAAAGCATCATGCTAATGCTGCTCGTGGTCGTGCTCTTTTACAACAAAGACGGGAAGAAAAGAAGGAAATGGTGTCTAAAGAATCATCAAAAGATCGTAAAGTTTGGATTCCCAAATCTAAACTTATGCAAAAATTAGGTTTGCGAGTCACATCCTTCAACCGCGACAGTGTCCACTGTCGTGGCCAAAGAAAAGTTATCAAGGTCCCATCTTCAACACTGTCGGCGTCTGGACCTGGTCTGTCTGCTACAACCACATCTGCTCCATCACCAGTGAAGTCATGGGTCAGTCCTGACCTGTCAAAATTCAAAATCATAATGATGGATCACCTTAATCTCTCACCTGATGATCAAGCAAAACTCCAGTTAAGGAACGCTTGGGTCTGGTAAATAAACCCCAAGTAGATTCTTACACCGGGGGTCGTAAGTATCCTCCTATCAGGACTAAGCAATCCTAAGAGAGGAAAACTTCAATTTCATCTCGTTTGGGGCCTGTAAAGATTCTATGCCCGCAAGGTGGTGGGTTTAATCATACAACCTTGGATTGCTCAGAGGCGACGACAAGTCATCTCGTATATGTCAACAAGGTTCAAACACAAAAACAGAAGATAGGTTGCTCTGATCACCATACTGACGAGCTCTACTATCAAACTAAAGGTGGAAACAAATCACGAAAAAGAAGTGTTTGAGAAACAAGCCTACCTTGTGTATGTGAGAGGCTTATTAAGGCTGTATTGTCGAAATGTAGTTGCTCTAAAGCCAAACCAACAAGAGTCTCTGTGTTTCAAAGACTTTCTACGGAGACATCAAAATCCAAGATGAGACGTTTTCATGGAAAGAATTCTACTATTAAAAAAGATAAGCTTCCAGAGGTCACTATTAACATGACCGACAGAGGAAAACGACATTCGATCAACCCTGATCCTGATTTTTCTCCAGGAGGGAGAGTTGATTAGGGCATTTCTCAAAGAAAGTCACAGCTATAGGGAATGGCTACTAGACGTAGAGATTATAGAAGAATGCATAAAGGTTTGTCTTCAGATGAGGAACTCTCAGATACTTATTCTGCAGTTACCTCTGATGATACAATGTCTAGTATGGGGCAAGCCAGAGAATCATTCACAATTACGCCTGATCAATTAGCCCAGATGTTGCAAGAGGCTTTAGATAAACAATGAAAAGAGATCAGAGCTGAAATAAAAACGGAGATGGATTTGACAATGCAATAGATGAGGGATTTGCAAGCTCAACAACATCCACAACTGCAGCCGGAATCAAGTCAAAAGGCGGAATCTAGCCAGTGCAATCGGATAAATGAGATAAACAGTAATCAAGAATAGGATGAAACTGCCTTAAAAAATAATACTGAAAGCAGTCCGATCAAAATGCCTCTTCAACCTTCTCACATTCATTCAAAGGAGAATAGGGATAAGGACAAAAAGATGCAAGATCTTGAGAACAAAGTCAATGCTCTGATGATAGCTCAGGAAGTGAAGAAAACAGGCATCCCGTACCCGAATCCGAGGGAGTGGGATTTAATTCCTTATCCCCCAAAGTTTAATTTAATTAACTTCACTCATTTTGATAGCAGGGGTTCACCCACTCAACACTTGATTTATTTCAAGTCTCATCTTGGTACATATCCGGAAATAAAGCTTTGATGGTGCGGTTATT